TCCAGTGGCTGGATGTTGGAGGGGATTTCGCTGTAGTAAAGCAAGCAATAGATTCAAAGCCAATCATTGATCTTGGATGAACTGGGGGTACTGGTTCCAAACGAGGCCACTGTCAGACGGTCTGGTTACTGCCTGCTAACACCACCTGCTGTCGCTTCTGGTCTCTGCTGTAGACACACATTCATTTACAGCTGGGTTTCATTTAGGTTTGTATGGAACCGCAATGTTGTCTGTATAAAAAAAACGAAAATGCATCCATTTTATAATCCATATAACAACGCCATTTCTGACATTTTGAACTGAAAAAGCTTGGAAACAACAACTTGTATTGTTTTTTTCACTTTTTCTTTGGAATCCATTTTAAGGCAATTTTTTCGATCATAGAAACTTGACTGGTTTAGTATTTAAACTTAAAACTTGTCACCTGAAGAGTCTTAAATAGGCTTAACACTATTACAGAGCAGCACCCTACTACCATGCATGTAATCATTGTTTTTATTTAATGACATTAATTGATTTGAAAAAGCTTCCTGGATGGGAAGCGAAAATAAAACCCTTTGCTTTTATTCAGTCTATGAACTGTTTCGTTTTACTCAGGTTGATGCAATGCTTTATGTTTGACTCCATTTAAATTCTTCAGCAGTTTTTTTCCTCGTTTTAACAGCATTGGCAGTTTGTTGGAGACAGTTTGGCTTTATAAAGGTGTGATCTAATTGCCCGAGGATCCACAGATAACAGCGGCTGTTCTTTGACCATCCTGGAGTTCAACTTTGACAATGAACGCAGAGAAAAAAAAGTTTACCTCTTTATAAAATCATAATCATTTAAAAACCAATGTGAGATTTTTCTTCAACAAGATGAAGACAAAAGAAGTTCTAACTTCTGTTGAAATCATAAATCAGTAAAAGGCAGCTGTTTAATCAATTATTCACTCTTTTATAAATCATACAATGAAAGTAATTTAAATGTATTTGGATGTTAAACAAGACAAAAAAAAAAAAACAAGTTTGTAACAGAGAAACCTTACTTCTGTTTAGACTTTAGCTCCCCCTAGTGGTAGAACAAGATATAAACTACCAATACATAATAGAAGTTTAACCCACCCATACATTATTTGTATATATTTCAAATCAAAGGAGAATGTTAATAAATGAAAACAACATAAACAGAAACATATTTCTAAAGGAAATAGTCAGTTAAATTATCCACTATCAGCCCCAAAGCTTCCTGTTTTTTTTATTTTCATAGCCTCCTTTAGTGGCAGAGCGACAGGAAAACACAAACAGCAGCATTTGGCTCCAAGCGAGCAGCTTCGCTCAGCACAACACTTCGCCTCCTGCTTCTTAATCAAAACTGGCACTGTGGCAATTACCTAATTAGACATCAATTAATCCACAGCCTTCAGGCCCGCGGCCGTGTTTGACCTGCGGAGCCTGGGCGTCTAACAGCCGTGGCAGATTGATGGGAGTCCAGGGGTTCAGAGGTCAGCCTGCTGCTCAGGAAAACTCCAGAAATAAAGTGCAGTTCATTTCATAATTAACAGGTAGGGGAAGTAATTCATTAAGATGTGAACGTTTAATCGAGTAATTCAATAAGCAGGATCTGTGTACTGAGTGGATAATTTCAATTATATAATTAAAGCAGAATAGAGGAAGCTATAGAAGTGATTGAAGGTTAAACGGGGTTTCACCTTCTCTTTCCTGCATCCATCTAAACAGAGATGCAGCCGATTTCTGATTGGTAGATTATTTAAAGGAACAAGCATCTGATAGAGTTCCAATTTATTTTAATAAACAACAACATAGGATGTAAAACTAACTCAAAAATCCTTTATTAATTGCACCAAAGAGAGTTCATATGATATTAAAGCTAGTTTTTTTAATCTTGTATTAGTGATGACTTTAGTAACTACAGCTAGCATTATTAAAACAACAGAGCGTTCGTCCATCCATCTTCTCCAATGTATTCCATCGGGGTTGCAGTGGCGGCGTACATCCTGGACAGGTTGCCAATCCATTGCAGGGCAACAAAGAGACAGAAATGCAACCATTCAAACACACACTGACACCTAGGGACAATTTAGAGACGCAAATGAGCCAAATAGTCATGGACTGTTGGAGGAAGCCGGAATACCCGGAGAGAACCCATATATACACAGGGAGAACATGCAAACTCCATGCAAAAAGGCTGGGAATCGAACCCAGAGCGTTCATTCTAGAGAACATAAATGTGCAAATAAGTGCAAAAATGTGCTCTTTCTCACTCTGCTGCAGCCTGAATGAAGGATAATGGATTTTCTCTGATTCTTTTTTAAATATGTCACAAATCCCTTAAAACAGACAACTCTGAGAATCTTTCTTTCATAAATCGTTGCTAAACTGGTACTTTTTAAAAAATCTTTCCAGCACCACAACCTCTGGAACTGGTAAAAGTTGTTTCTTGGCACTAACTGGGAAAAAGGAAATAACCAGTATAATCAGAAGCTGGATGTG